CTTAGCTTGAACATAAAAACATAAATGTGTGCATGCAACTAGATAACGGGATATTTACCTGAGCAAAAGGTGTTACGATCAGGTCATCACCATGTCTAAACACAAAAAAGAAACAAACCATCGTCAGCAAAATGGTCGGATACAAAATATATCAAGAAAATGAGAGAACTGTTAAGAAAGAGCGATAAGAAATGACCCAAGCAGCTTTGTGCAACAACCTAATAAATGGGAAGGAAAGTATCGTGGGAGGACGTGTACCTGGGTCAAGGAGGCCTCGATATTGAGATTAACCTATTTTTGTCAGCTGAGGTGGAGACAGAAAGTGACTCTTCTGTGCGTCCAAAAATATTGTCATAATGTGGTCAGTGAGGAGATCCTTATATAGTCAGGCCCATATGTTTTTTGGATAAAGGCACAACCTTTGTAATGTTTCCTCCGGACACAATAGATGGCACAAACTGCTTAGGAATTACAGCCTACAGACTCAGAAGTAACTGGACAAAAGTTTTCTAGAATTTGTTTTTGGCAGCTGTTCACTGAAACCCTTGATACGAGGTAAAATATGAAATCGTTAGGCTGAAGAAACTGAATAAACCCATTGTAGGAAAAGAGATTCCAGGACTGACCAAATTAACAATTTGGTCTGTTCTTATAAGGAAGGCAGCTCAAAATATTCTTCTGTAGGCCGGGAGGATGAGGAATTCTTTCCTTAGTTAAAAGGTTCAATGTCACAACAACTAGCCAAGTCAAGAAGTCGTTCCCAAGGAAGTGGTCAAAGTTTACAGATGAGAGACTCCTTCATGGACAGAAACAGTGAAGGTGCCACCTACAGATAACATTCAAGACCAGGAAGAGAACATCTAAGAGATGTTTCCATAAAAAACACTTTGGCTTCATGAAGCCAAGACTAACAATGTTGTCAATATTCTTGCAGTAATTTCATTGTGATCGTCACTCAGTGGCTCAACTGCTCATTAACATAAATACCCAGCCAGCCTGTCTATCAGACTGGCTGGTCTGAATATTTCAGAAGCTGTTGATGTGCTGGGACTTTTCCCACACAAACATCTCTTGAGTTTACAGAGAATATTCTGGAATAAACAGAAAAAATCTCTGGTCGTCGATGCCAGAGGTCAGAGGAGAATGGATAGACTGCGTCGAAGAGACAGGATGGTAACAGTAACTCAAATAACCAATCGCTGCAACCAAAATATGAGGAAGA